TAAAATGGGACTCTTCTGACACATCATGTTTTTAATACAATATTTTATATTATTGATCCAAATTAACGTGAGATTATAACTGTGAAATGATAGAGAGTCTCACATTTGCGACTGTGATAGTTCCATACCAATACCATCCCTCACAAATCTATGACTTCTCCTAAAAGAAAACATAGGAGCTGATACACCATCGGCGCACGTTAGCGCAAGGCACAGGACACAAGGCAAAGAGGTTGATTAAGCTATCCCACCACTACCGAGCAAACGCCAACAATCACGGAATCATCTGAGAAAAACACCATAATCATCACCATCGTCCTAACCTTAATCCCCCCTGGGCAGACTAGGCCACTTATTCTTCATTAACCTTAATCATTATCTTAGTCCCTTCCTTAATCCTAATTACGACGATGGCTTTGCATTAATCTCACGAAATCGCAGCCAAAAGGGCAAGACAAGAAAAGCCCAGAAGCCAAAAGCCAAAAGCACTAAGCACTCATTCCACTGCTGCGTTGGAGCAAAAGACGACCTGGGTCTGTCGTCGGCAGAGGCGAGGCTTCGAAAGTTTTGGGTTTTTGATCTGGGTCTGGCTCCGATCGATCTGTGAGGTCGGCGGATATGGTGTGATGAAGGAGAAGAGACGAAGGCATGGCTCGGGTAGGAGGAGAATGGGGATTGAAAGGTAGAGGGAAATGGGCTTTTTCGTACAAGAAGACCACTCTCATCGTTTGCTCCATTAACATTGCCGTTGCTCTCTATGTTCTTCGCTCTCTCTACGCTTCTCTCTACATCTACTCCGATAAAGATACAGGCCCCAGTACGTCTCTCTCTCTCTGTCAAATTTTCTCTCACTAGGTTCTGTAAATCTTGGTTCTTTGAATGATCCACTAGCTATTTGAGGTATTTTGGAGAGAACCCAGTTGGGAATTTAGCTTGTTGTTTGATGAGTTTTGTTTAAATTTTCTGGCTTTGGATTATCCAGTAACTGTTTGAGGTGTTTTTGAGAGAACCCAGTTGGGAATTTTTGAATTTTTTGACGTTGAATGCTGGTTTAATTGAGGGAATGTTTTGTTTGTGAATTGGTTCAGCTTTTGAGTACACTCCGGATCAGATTAGGAAGATGGAGGAATCGGTTCGGATTCGAAAAGCAGCTGAACCGGTTGAGCTAATTAGATTGGTAAGATATGCATTTTGAGCTCTCTGATGGTGGGTAGATCTGTTTGATTGAATCAGTAGAGCGATAGCTGTGAGTCTTTTTAATTTAATGGAGGACTATTCTGTTGTGCTCAAAAGGTGAAGGCACTTAAGAAGGAGCTTTACGGAGAGGCAGCGGTCGAATTGCCACAGCCTTTGAAACTGAAGATGACTAATGAGATAATTGATAGGTTGAAAACCTTGAGGCCCAACGCAAATATTACTGAGCAGAGAGGTCAATGCAGCTCAATTTTATTTTCTTTAGCTCATCTCTTTTTGTTATATGCATTTCAAGCAAATCGTTATGTTGGACTAGCCATGCAATATCAAATCTGAAATCTTGTATAAATGGTTTAAACATAATTATCTTACCGTGACATTCAACTTTGTCCTGAAATAGATATGATGAATTTATTTTTGAACTGTGTTGATTCTAGTTTTTGTATCTGAAACTACAATTATCGACATTGATAACAAACTCAAAAAGCTATCGAGTGGTTATTTAATACTGTCATATTAAGGTTGAATGAAGTGTACCGTTCTCTTGAGCTACTGTACAAGTTTCGGTAAAGGAGGAATCCAAAGATTTCATAGCTTTAGTTTAAATCCTTAATCATTAAGCTTCTTATGTTTTACTATAAGTTTATTACCCGTTTGTGCATGCTTTCCCGTTATCTATTTCTTTATGATGTTGCATCATCGTATGGTAGATTTCCTGCTTCCAATATTTCAACTACTTGTTTCAGCTTTCAGAGGGAAATTATCTGTTACATATCCAGAAATAAAATATTTTTAGTACTGAAGGTTACACGGGTTAAAGTGAAGTTTAAGTAGATTGCATGTGAAAGGATGTAGAAGGTTGTCTGTTTTGTCTTGAGGAACAAATTGCTTCCTGGTATTCTGGTAGCATATAAATTTTCTCTAGATTTTATGTCAAACCTGATCTTTGCAAGGAAGGGCTTGCTTTAGGCATACTCTGTATTTCTGTAAACGCTAAAAAATTGTGACGTAATAGAGCAAACAATTATAGTTTAATGTGGCTTTTTTAGTTTTCTGGTGCCGTGTTTCTTTCTTTGGGTAGGTGGTGCATGATGACCTGGATAACTGTTGTTTCAGTTAACTTTGGAATTACTCAATTTATCCTGTGATTAAGTGGGGCCAATACTGATTGTCTTTTTAGTAAGACTGGCTATAATTTAGATATGTGTGTATCTTGCATTTTTTTAGACCCTAGATATGTTCCAGTTAAGTGTAAAGTGCTTTCACCTTGTTCAAGTAACGAGTGCTTTTTCACTCGTACATTACAAGTTTACAACATATTCTCTCATTACTTGTAGTAATTAACTTATCACTTTGATGCTGGGTGCTTAAATAAACAGAAGTAGTTGAAAGTTGGTGCAAGGAAAAACTAAAAGAAGCTAAGCAGTTGGCAATTGAGACCAAGGCTTCAAATTCAACAATTCTTCATGAGGAAGCAGGTATGGTCATTATTTGTGAGCTACATGTGGTTTCTTTTTAGGATTCAGTAACTTATATGATGTAGCAGTCTATGAACGGTAGTATGATTGTTTTGACAAACTCTGGTGTTTCCTGTTCTGATTTTGTTTTCTATAGAAATGCTAGTAAAAGCTTTGGAATCGGATTGGACTTGGCTTTTGGAAGACATGGGTCTTTGGATTCCTGCTGAAATTCATAACACGGAACATCATGATAAACCTGAGGGTGAAGAAGACGATTTAGGTAATTCATCAATTTCTGCTCCATGCCTTCTCTCTATCATAAGACAAAAGTAATCTTTTATTTTCCTTTATGAAATAAAAAGAAAAAGTCATGATCCTTGTCTGGTAGTTTTGAGAAGTTTACTCATTCGGATAGTGGAAACTTATTCCATGTGTTGAATGTACGTATTCCTTTGTTTTTCTGTAGACGAAATTTTGCCTGGCAGGCCACTTCCTCCTGAATGCCATGCAGAAGTTCATACAGATTATGATGGTGCTGCTGTAACGTGGGGACTTAACCACCACAAAGATAGTGCAGCTGACTGTTGTCAGGCTTGCTTGGACCAAGCTAAACGTGCTAAGCCTAATCAAAAGAGATGTAATATATGGGTTTACTGCCCGTCAGAAACTGGTTGCTATTCTCCAGATATCTACGAGCATAAACTTGGGGAGTGCTGGCTTAAATACGTAAGAACTAAACAACCCTTTCATTACAATTTATATATAATTTGATTTGATTGCATTTTGTTTGTGATTACGTTGATCCAGTTGAGTCTAATGTTTCTTGTTTTCAATCATCAAAATGCAGGCAGAAACGCCTAAACTTAATTTTAAGGACAAGTATTCTGAATCATATAGAGACCGCCATCCATCTGCACCGCTTGTTGTTCCCTGGGCCTCTGGCATTGTTGGTGCATGATAGGATTTCGCCACTCCCAGCAGAAAAGGACAAACCCTTGTCGTTGTAACTTGACCTGCAAAGGCTTACCATGTTCTGGAAACATCACAAAGCACACGAACGAAGGTAACTTCACTGGAATATGCAATCGTGGTCTCCCTGGGTTTATATACTTTAGTTCCGTTTGAATTGTTTATTGAAAAATAGAAAAATTAGGGAGAATTTTTTAAGAGAGGGAAATGGAGCGACTGAAGGTTCAGGGTACGCTCCGTGCTTCTTGTTTGTTCAGAGTCATTTTTTTGCAATACGGATTGTCATGGTGTCTGGCGCCGATGATTCAAGATAAAGAAGTCCTGGTCGGAGGCATAGTGAGGTTTGTCGTTAGACGTTGAGACTCTCCCCGCGAATGAACGAGGGATATGAATTTCTGTCTATGAACGTTGTGTAATACTCTAATTCTTTGGATAAGTACATAATGCTCTCTATCTTTAAAAGTAGGAGTACAAAGTTTTCAGTTTCGTGTTGCTCAAGTATCGTTTAGCTTGTAATGCTCATCAATTGTATAAAGTACAGTTCCAAATAACAAAAACCTGAACAAACTAGAGAGAACCTCGACGGTACGAGGGAGAAAGAACAAATTGTGGGGATTTTAGGGATCTTCATATCTTAGTCATTCATCGTATATTGTGCGGTGAAAAATCATTTGATTTTTTTTATTTAAAATTAAATATAAATAGTAGCTGGCGAAAATTGATCGCACGATATACGATGGACAGCTAGGAACGGATCCCCACAAAAAAAGTTTTATGAACCTAAAGTTTTCGGAATTGTTTTTAAAATGAATGAAAATGTTTTTCATGAAAATGCTTTTTATAAAAATGCTTTTGGAACTAATTCTTTATAACAATACAAGTGAATTTTGATAAGGCAGTTAAATTGCTTCCTACAAGAAGCATACATAACTGATGCTCCCTTCAATGGACTTTAAGTGCTTATAAAATCCAAAATACTATCACCTAAAAAAGCGTTTAGTTATTTTAAAGGTGAGCTAAAAATTTTCGATTAAACTCAATTACAAACGTTTTTGGCACTCCATGGAACAATCCACCGCATGCCCAAAGTGAAATTTAATTGTAAGCAAGAGATTTTATATTCGATTCTCGTCAAAATAGAATTTGAACTACATTATCATTAATTCATTATGAGGCTTTAGCCAACTTTCTCATTTTTTAGGTAGGTAATATTGTTTATCAAAAAAAAAAAAAAAAAAAAAAAAAACTAACTCCATGGGTACAGCACTTTGAGAGTCGCTGCCTCTCAAAGCGATTCCAATCCGCGCTATTCTTTGCCCACCATTATTGATGTGATCGCGCGCGAGATTGGATCTTGCTCGGCCCACGAAGGTAACTTAATTTCTACGTTTCTCTTTAGTCCTGGTATTTTGGTTGCATTTGTGCATAATCCGATCGTTACTTGGTTCAGAAAAACCAACAATCCAATTGGATGTAATTCTCAAGTTTTTTCTTTGCACTTTGAAATCATTATTCTTGTTAAGAATTCTGAAATTTCTGTAGGTGGGTTGTTGCTTAATTGGTTTAATTCGCATTTGGGCGTTCTGTAGCTCTGATTTCAAGCTATGGTTCATTGACATTGAAAGTCTGCAGATTATATTCCTGTCTGGTTTAGTTGAATTTCGATTCGGATTTTCGATTCCCAAGTGGGTTCAAGCTCTTGTTGTCATCCGTCAAAGATTTTACTAGAAAATTAATGAATCAAGCTTAAAGATTTTTATATGTTTTGGTTTGTCTGCATGACCAGAGGATCCCAAAAGAGGGACTGCATTCGGGTGGACATGTAGAGCGATGGAGAAGGGTTAGGGTTTATTGAGATGCAGAGATATTAGTACAATACTTGAATGCCGTTGTATTTTCATGATGTTATATGAGCAATAGAAACCCGAATACTTGATCTAGATGTCCTCTTATGTGTTTGTTCAGATTGTTTGATAGTCAAATTTCGAAACCTAAAAGTTGTGTGTCGTTGCGGTATTGGCAATTTGAAATCAAGTATTCAGTTACGTTTGATGGTTCTTTAGATTTTCGTATAAAGAAATTACAGACGTTTTTTTCATTTCATATGCAGTGAAGATAATGTGGTGGCAAGTAGCTACAACCATGGCTCTTGGCAGCCACCCCATTCAGGATACTCACTATGACATACTATCGGTGAAACAAGATGCAAGCTATGAAGTTATTCGAGCAAGCTACCGATCTGCCATCCTTGATAGTCATCCTGATAAATTGCAAAGTACATCTGGGTCGGGAGATAGATTCCTGAAGGTGCAAAAGGCTTGGGAAATCCTTGGCCATTCAAGGTCTCGCGCACTTTATGATAGTGCGATTCTCGATTCTAGTCATGACGCTATGGTGGCAGAAGATATCAGCCTAGAAGATGTGATGGTTGAAGATGCGGGAGAGGTCATTCAACTCTTTTACCAGTGCCGGTGCAGTGACTATTTCTTCGTTGATTCTTTGGAGTTGGAGAAGATGGGGTATGCTTTATTAAAAGATGGAAACAAGATATCTTTCGAAGCACAGAATGCATTGCCAGCATCGCTTGTCCTCCCTTGCGGGTCTTGTTCTTTGAAAGTTCGGATATTGATCAATTCAGATGACTTTATTACGATCATTGATGACCATCGAATGGGGGACGAAGTTTTCTCTGAAGATTTTAGTTTCAACAGCTTAAAATGACGAGAGCCCTGTGTGTTTCAAGTTGAAATTTCATGGAAAATGGGATGAGTGGGATGATTGAAGCAGAGATTAAAGAAAGGCCAACTATGATTATGTTCTCTGTAGTTTCGGCAAATCTGTACTTCGGTCCTTATGGTTTCAATTGTGGCAATTTTGTAGTTTACTGATTGATTCAATATAAGGACGTCCTAATTTCGAGATTTTCTCATCGAATTTGCAATTTTTGTTTTTTGATACACAGAATTCACACTGGATAAGCAATTATGGATTTTTATAGAGTTTAACTGATTTGTAGGGATTTTATGTAAAATTTTGATTCAATTCCCTCGAAATCTCAGGGAGAGATGTGAGATTTGTAGATACTTAAAATACATTACAAAATCTCTCCAATTCCTTCTAATTCCTCAACTTTTCCAAATTCTTTATATTCAAATTCTAATTAAATACACATGAAATGTTATAAATTTATTTAAAATTCTAATTAAATACACTTGAATTTCTAAGAATTTTAATAAATTATCTTAAAATCTTGATTGAATACACATTGAATTTCAAAGAATTACTTAAAATCCTGAACACTCATACATTCATTAAAAGAATTAAAATCTCTCAAAATTTCTATCGAAAAATTGACGGAATCGAGCATCTTATTCTTCAACTGCTACGATTAGCAAACTTTGTGATTTAAATCGTGACAATTGAAACTCGAGAATCAAAGCGGAACTTTTGGAACAGCGTAGCGGCCCAGCGCTATCGTACGGGCCCTTGTATGAGTTTGGATGGATCAGGACCTCATTATTTTATTTTATTCTAAATAACAAAAAAATAAAAATTTGAAGAAACAAATTCAAAATTGACGTCTACGATTCTCAGCGATCTGATCAGGTTTCTGGTTCTCCAATCAATCCAAGAAGGTTGAAAATCTCTATTTCCCAGGTACGATTTCTTCTCCTTCTTGTTAATTTCACAAAAATTTAGGGCTTTGTTCTTCCTGTGAAATAAAGAAATTTAATTTTCATCAAAGATTCTGCGTTTTGGGGGATTTTAAACTAAAATCCACAATTGGGTTTCTTTGTAAATCGGAAACAGGTGATGGGTTCTGCAGAAAAAAGCTCCCAATGGCGGAGCGTGTTCGATGGCGTGAAGCTGAAGACCATCAAATCAATGCCGGAAGCTCTAATGGCGGAGATCAACACAGCAATTTGCAATCTCGAATACGCACGCGCCACCGATCTTCTCGGCTCTCCGTCTTCTTCGTCTTCGATGGCGAAAACCGAGAGCTCTGATCAACCCGTATTCAATGCAAGAATGGCGGACCAAGCATACAAGGCAGGCTGCGCAGCATTGGCAGCTGGGAAGCTCGACGAGGCCCTTCTCTCTCTAAACACTTCTCTCTCTAAGTGCCCACCTGACCAGACCTCTGCCGTGGCCAAGCTCCACTCTTTGATCTCTCTCACATCTCAGCAGCTCCACAAGCCCACCAGCTGAGTTTATCTTGTCCTTTCTAATTAATGCAAGCGATGGCTGGAAAGGAAGAATCAAACACAATATCTCGGAGTTTATCTTTATCTTTTCATTTTTAACTAATGCAAGGATGGCGGGGGAAGAAGGAATCGAACGCAGGATCTCGGATCTCGAGTGCAAAGTCCACCAGCTGAGTATATCTTGTCCCTTTTAATTAATGCAAACAATGACGGTTGGAGAAATCGTACTTAGGATCTCGAGTGCAGCGGAGTTTATTATGACATAAAAAAATTTGGTTATTTGTATATTATACTATTCCGGCACTTGGATCCAACTTATTGTGACAACATGAATTTTGGTGGGACAAAAAGTTTAGGGTATTTGATTCCAACTTTCCATGTTTTGGTCATGCGGATTTGGAGGTCGGCAACAATAATTTGGAGCTATTGAATGATCAATCAATTGGGGAACATGACATGTTGACATTAGTGTTGGGAGCAGATTTCACGAGGGTGGTTGGTGTTGGTGGTGGAGATGATGCTTTTAAACTTTACAGAGCATTTGTAAAGGTGGAGAATTTTCCTTTATTCTTGTCTAAAGTTCTAAACTTTGATTGTTTGATCAAGTTGAGATATGAATGATGTATTTAACCATGGTTAATCACTAGTAGAGGATTTCCTTTGTTATTGTCTAAATTTTGGTTTGGTTCATTAATTTAGATATGACTGGTGCCATTTTGTAGCAAATTTGACCTACCAGTATTATCATTATCGGTCGTATGCAATTATGTGTTTAGTTGTCGGGAAGGACTTGCTTAATACTTTCAACCTAACAGTATTCAAGGCAAGTGACATGCGTTGTCATGTGTTTTAATTTCTACTTGGTAACTCTTTATTGCTTTGGGAAACCGTCCCACTGGCATACTTGGTGTAGCTAAGTCTCAATCCATTTTCACATCTAGGGTTTTTAACGAACTCAATGTGGAGGGAGACTAAAGAAGATAAAATCAAAGATATTGCTCAAGAAATCTAAGACTCATAATCTTTCTTTGTTATGATGTTACTAGAATTTAATGCCCATGAAATTTCTAATTCTTTTGCTGAAGAAGGCATGCAAGTAATTTTGATTGTCATACCTTTCTGTTGGGACATCACATTGAATTCAACTAATTTTGATTGTCATCAATGAAAATGAAATTGGGGAAAGATGCCAAATTTATGTGTTAACTTGTACATGATTTCATCCATTGAGATATAGACTTTAAGAGCACTCCCAGTTTGGGAAAATTTAACAGATAGTTTTGTAAGTGTGGGTTAGGCCAGTTGGTTAGGACAGTGTGTCTGCTCTTAGCACTCAAGTTCGAGTTTCCCTTCCTGTAGTTTAAAGTAGTTCAGAAGACCGTCTTGTTAGAAAATAAATACTAAAATGTCAAATTGGGTTTGGTATCATGTCCTAGTTCTCCATAACTTCAACTTAAAGTGTGAATTGAAAACTACAGAAGAAGTACTAAATAATAAATATAGGGAAGAAAACCAAAGAAACGGATTGAAGTTACAAGAGTCTTCTTCAATGAGAATTATTATGGCTGTGAGATAAGCAAGGGCGTTTTCAACCTCAAAGGGAGGAGTTTTAGCTTTTGTTAAAACGTCTAGTATGCTTTTTTAGCTTTGTCTTTACCCTAAAGAATAGAGACCAGTATTCTCCATTTCCCCCCCAATAAGTTGAGAAGCCACTGTCAAAAAAAGCAGGTGATGGTCTAATCCGAACATCATGTCGAGTAAGAATAACTCACACCAAAAGCACTAGTTTTTGTAGATATTTCAAAGCAGCTGTGGCTTACAGTTTACAAACCAAAAGCACCTTTTTTTCAACTCCAACATGAGCATCTTTCATCATGAAGAAGAACAGCCACCAAATCCTTCCAAAAGGTGCAAGTTTCTTGCTGCTTGTCTCACCGATGTGTTTGCGAATTGCCATACCAGCAGAAAGCTTTCGGCTTCGAGCCCTGCTGGGGAGGAGTTCCTGACAAGCGACTTTGATGAGGAACAAGAAGTACTTACTGTGAACCGAAATGAATATTTTTCGATACTAAAGTTTTCATTTTCTGTTAACCCATGAGTGTTTTGCAGGTTGTTTTTATCGTTTTTGGTTGCTTGGTTTTTTCTCTATCAGGTTATTGTGTCTGCCATTCGAAGCCGTGCTATGGAAAAACTGACGCGCAAGCCGAGCAGTTTGACAGATAGCTTCTCTTTCGTTTACTCTTCGAAATCAGAAGATTTATTCATAACGCAGAAAGGAGCGGAAAAGCAAGAGGATCATGAAGATCACGAAGGCGATGAGAAAGAAGAATTTTTATCGGTTGCAAGCTGCCTTTCTTGCTGCTCAAGCACCGCTGCAACTAGAGACGTGTTTCTTTCTGTCAAGACAAGTTTGTCGCGTTGTTCGAGCCTTGGTGGGATCGAGTTTAGAGATTTTCCAAGGCAGTCCATAATTCAGCAATTCTATCATTGTGAGGGCTGGCCGTTTGGGCTTTGCCGGAAGGCTGTGTTGCTTCCACCGCTGCCAAAGTCGCCCTCTGAGTCGTGGATGTGGAGAAAAGGCACTAAGTTTGTTAAGATGGTTTAAAGTCGGAGGTCGCCCGCACCACCACCAACAAAGGACGTTCAAAGTTCAATGTTATTTTGTGTTTAGATGATTAAATGGATGGAATAAAATGCAAATACAATAAAAGTTTCAGTTGTAATGCTATGCTATACTTTGTAATAAGTAATGCTATCATATATTAAATTTGGCCGGACTTGTCCACCAGCAAGAAACAACCTTAAACAGAAGAAACAAGAAAAACCCTAAAACTACAAGCAATACAAAATTCAAAACAATCCGGCAAACGAGAAGAAATAGAAACCGAAACCGAAAGTGAAGCCTAACACCTACACCCCAGCACACGAAAAGGACTACTGCTAAGCGGTAAGTCTTGTGGATTCGACCTGGTGTCCATCTGCAGGAAGCTTGGAGACGAGCAGACAAACCTTTTGTGAAGACGTTGGCTATCGTGTGAATTTGATAGAAACTCACAACCACCACAATGATAATTACCAATAAATTGCAGAAGCACTCGCAACCAATGCGTTGATCAATCTGAACTTCAGCACTAAGGAGGAGAGCCTCTAACCCATCATAAGTAAAGGGCTTGTCACGAACTTGAGCAGCACTGATCACTATATTCTTATAGGGAGAGCCAACATTCTTCGTGATGACATCAATGATCTCGGTCTCAGGAACAGGAGAACCAACTAACGCTAGTTTGTGGGAAGAATCATTGACAATAGAAAGAATCCTCCTACCATTACGAGTAGTTTGAAGAAGATCACTGCGGAGCTGCGTGATATGTTTCAGACTGGAAGAGGCAAACAGATTCTCCAAAGCTTGCCAAGTTTCACGAGCAGTACGGTACTGGTGAGCGATGGTGCCGAGCACATAAGGGCTTAAGAAGCAATCGATACAGGATAGAGCACGGTGGTCCTTTTGGATTCAATCTTCAAAATCGGGGTTGACAGTATCGGTTTTGTTGCCATGTTATAGCTGTGATTATCTTAATCACAAGCTTAGTTATCAAATAAGTATTTTTGATTAGTGAGGCCAGCTGGCGGTAGTGTTGGAAAAACAATATATGTAACTCATTGTGGGAGAAATGAAATACGAATATATTCAAGAACAAATATCTCTTCTCTTTCTCTATCTCTTCCCATAGCTTTCGCCATTGTTGTGCTGCTTGCAGGTTGAGTTGGAGATCTGAGATTTGGTGCATATTAATTGGTATCATCCATCTCGGTCCTCGATTCCCTCTTGTATGCCCCGTCACGCGTTGACGACTCGATTAGTAACCATGGACGCTCGTCTCTCTACTGTCGAGGAAACGTTGGCGGATCTTCCCAACTTCATTTGCTCCTCCATTGCCGCTGCAAATCAGGACCTCACGGCTACTCTCCGCTCAGTTCGAGGCCAAGCTAGCCTTCTCCTTTGATCAATTTCGGCGTGAGCAGTCCTTTGTGGGGGGAGCTGGCTCGTCAAATCCAGCACCGATAGTTGCCGACTCTGCTCTGGAGACCCCTCGCCCGCCTCGTCGTGATCAATCTGACACAGGAGGTGGTGCCTCGCAACTTCCATGGTTTCAACGAGTGGATTTTCCACGCTTCTCCGATGGAGAGGATCCGCTCACCTGGATCTATAAGGCCGAGCACTATTTTTCTTGTTACAACACTCCCGCTCATCAGAAGGTTCTTACCACCTCATTCTACTTGGAGAATGAAGCGATGCAATGGTTCCAATGGCGCAATTGCATTCATACCACTCCTACTTGGGAGGAATTTACCAGTGAGCTTTGTAAGGAGTTTGGGCCCTCTGAATTTGAGGATTATATTGAGGCACTTTTCAAACTGCGCCAAACAGGTACTCTCAAAGACTATGTATCTGAATTTTGTAGGCTTGCTAATCGTGCTCATGATGTTGGACCTGTGCTTCTCAAGAGTTGTTTTCTCGGTGGTTTAAAAAGGGAATTAATCTATGATGTTAAGTTGTTGCGGCCTGCTACAGTCTATGATGCCATATCGATAGCTATTTAGGTTGACTCTAAGCTTTCTGCCCTAAGAGCTCTCAATCCTAGAACCCTTCCTTCGGCTAAAATCACTCCCCTACCCATACTGCCTCCTAAAACTAAAACCACTATGTTACCATATTGTAAGCTTACTCCCGAAGAGGTTCAGCGCAAGAAAGATAAAGGGGAATGTTTGTTTTGCCTTGAAAAGTGGGTGGCAGGCCATAAATGTGGCCAAAAACAACTACTTCTGTTAGATGTGCGGGAGGAAGGTGATCTCTGTTAAGAGTTAGAAGAGGGAGTGCAGGCTGAATTACAGGGAATGACATTGAGTGAATGTGCATTTTATGGGGTGCATCACACACAGCCTTTCCAAACTATGAAGGTTTTAGGCACTGTCAACAACCATTCTGTAAGAATACTCCTAGACTCGGGTAGTACGCACAATTTTATTGATTCTAGGTTTCTTAAGATAGTGGGGTGGTCTTTGCAAGCAACTAAGCCATTTGAGGTTAGGATTGCTGATGGGGGAAAAATCAAAAGCCAAGGTTGTTGTAGGCGCATACCCTTGGAAGTAGGAGGTTATCATTGTCACACGGACTTATTTGCACTTCCATTGGGAGGGTGTGACTTGGTATTAGGAGTGCAGTGGTTGTCCACTGTGAGTCTTGTGCTTTGGGACTTTCAGTTGCTTACAATAGAGTTCCAAGTGGGCAAGCACAAGTTCAAATTGTCTCACGGTACATCACCACAGCTTGCAGTGCAAGAAATGTCACTTCAACAAATTGACAAAGAGCTTTCTCAGTCCAATTTGGGGGTACTATTGTATTCTTTGGAGTCTAATGCAAAGGGTACTTAAATTCTTAGTGCTCAACAAGTGGAGGAGTTACAGGCAGTGTTGCAGCAATTTGAGACATTGTTTCAAGTACCTACTCAGTTACTTCTGTACATGACGTATGATCACAAAATTCCACTTATCCCTGGTTCAAAACCCCCTAGTATTCGACCCTACCATTATGGACCTGCACAGAAAGATGAGATTGAGAAGGCAGTCCAAGAGCTTCTAAAGTCAGGGTTTATAAGGCCTAGTCACAGCCTGTTCTCCTTTCCAGTGTTGTTGGTGAAGAAAAAGAAAGGAACATGGAGATTATGCATGGATTATAGAAAATTGAACAGCATCACAGTCAAGGATAAGTATCCTATTCCATTGATTGATGATCTACTGGATGAATTATATGGGGCAAAGTACTTCTCTAAGCTTGATCTCAGGTCCGGGTACCATCAAATTAGGATGCATAAGGATGATATTGAGAAAATAGCGTTTAGAACTCATGAGGGACACTATGAGTTTCTAGTAATGCCTTTTGGGCTTACTAATGCCCCTGCAACATTTCAAAGCCTCATGAATGACATACTCAAGCCTTATTTGAAAAGGTTTATCTTGGTATTCTTTGATGATATATTAATCTACAGTTCTTCATGGGAACAACATCTAGTTCACCTGCAACAAACAATGGAGTTATTACACAAGCATTAATTGTTCCTCAAGAAACAGAAATGTTCATTTGGGCAGCAACAAGTGGAGTATTTGGGTCACATAGTGTCCAGCGAGAGGGTTTCTACACACCCTACCAAAATTAAAGCCATTGTAGAGTGGCCAACTCCTAAGAATGTGAAGGAGTTGAGGGGATTTCTGGGTTTAATCGGTTATTACAGGAAGCTTGTGCCTGGGTATGGCAAAATCTGCCAACCTTTGTACAAACTCACGAGTTTTGAAGGGTTCCTTTGGACACAAGCCACCGAGGAAGCTTTCCAACAACTGAAACAAGCCATGACTTCACCCCAACTCCTAGCCCTACCCAACTTTGCAGAACCATTTGTTATTGAGTGTGATGCTTCTGGTTTAGGCATTGGAGCAGTTTTGCAACAAATGGGCAAACCTATAGCTTTTGCAAGTCAAACACTTGGTCCCAGAAATCAGGCCTTGTCAACTTATGAGAGGGAACTTATTGCAATTGTATATACAATTAAAAAATGGCAGAATTATCTCCAAGGGAGCCATTTTATCATCAAAACTGACCATAACAGCTTGGAATATTTCTTGAGTCAAAGAGCAAATACACCATTTCAACAAAAATGGGTATCCAAGCTGTTAGGGTTTGATTATAAGATGCAATATCGACATGGCAAAGAGAATATTGTGGCAGATGCTCTCTCTAGAGCACCTGGATCAAACTGCCTCCCGGAGCTACCTTTGGAGGATAAGGGAGAGGTGTTAACTATCACATACCCCTATTTTGGGTGGCTGGATGAACTTAGGAGGGAACTAGAACTAGATCCTTGGGTTAAAGTGAAGAAGCAAAAGGTGGAAGTACAAGTTCACGGTACTAGACAGAGTGTAGTTGTCTCTAAGTATCACATTGACAATGGATTCTTGAAGTACAAAGGAAGAATTATCCTTGGGGTGGATTCTGTGTGGAGAAAGAAATTATTTGAGGAGCATCACTCCACTTATATGGCAGGCCATGAGGGATCTCAAAGCTTGGGTAGCCGAGTGCAGAACTTGTCAACAAAACAAGTATGAAACTATCTCACCACCTGGATTATTACAGCCCCTTCCAATACCTCAGCAAACATGGATAGACATAAGCATGGATTTCATCTGTGGTCTACCTTCTTGCAAGGGGAAATCTGTGATCTTGGTGGTAATGGATAGGCTATCAAAGTATGCACACTTTATAGCTTTGGGACATCCTTACACTGCTAGCATGGTAGCCCAAGAGTTTGTAGAAAATATCTTTAAGCTACATGGCATGCCTCGGACCATTGTAAGTGACCGGGATACTATCTTCCTCAGTGCTTTTTGGAAGGAGTTTTTTAAACTACAAGGGTCAAAATTGTGCATGAGCTCCGGGTACCACCCCCAAAGTGATGGCCAAACAGAAGTTGTCAATAGGTGCCTAGAAACCTATTTGAGGTGCTTTACTAGTTTTCAACCCAAGAAGTGGCTCCAATGGCTTCCTTGGGCTGAATGGAGCTATAACACCTCATTTCACACTGCTTCCAAGTTCACTCCATTTGAGATTGTATATGGTTTCCCTCCTCCACACATTGCATCTTATGAACTTGGTTCGGCTAAACTGGAGAGTGTAGAACAAGGCTTGATTGCTAGAGACAGAATGTTGAAAGTGCTTAAAACTAATTTGGTCAT